GGTGTCCCCTGCCCCCGACCCCAGGCCCCCAGACTGCCTTGCAGTGCATGCTGGGATGGGGTGTCCCCTGCCCCCGACCCCAGGCCCCCAGACTGCCTTGCAGTGCATGCTGGGATGGGGTGTCCCCTGCCCCCGACCCCAGGCCCCCAGACTGCCCTGCAATGCGTACTGGGATGAGATGTCCCCTGCCCCTGTCCCCAAGCCCCCAGACAGCCCTGCAGTGCATGCTGGGATGGGGTGTCCCCTGCCTGCAACTCCAAGCCCCCAGACAGCCCTGACGTGCATGCTGGGATGAGGTGTCCCTGGTCCTGTCTGGGCACTGGCCCCCGGAAGGATCACTCTGGGGGTCTCCAGGAAACAACCCGTGACTGTAAAACCACAGGCTATGAAGGGGAGGGAATTCACCATCATCTTTCTTTCCAAAGAACCCCCAGATCTTCTCGGTTCGCTTCTCTGGGGTGTTTTCATCCTCTGGAAGGTTCTTCGCGTCCTCGGGACTGATCATTTTGAAAATAGCCTGCAGCAAATAAAGATGAAGGTCTCATCAGAAGGAGAAGCAGAAGCCTGTGTGCCCCGCCCCCGCCCCGGGGCCAAGCATCCTCTATGGCAGAGACTGAAAGGCAGATGTCCAGGCCCCGGGCTGCCCTGCTGAACCAGAATTCACGGGAGTGGGGTCGGGGCGTCTCCACCTCCGAGATCCTCAGGAGGGACAGGGAACATGGTGGAGAAGTGAAGAGGCTGTCGGTTATTTTCTTCCTCCTGTGCCTTTTGCATTTCCCGCCCATGTAGGCACATTACTTTCATTTTATGAAAATATGAGAGGAAGAACTTAAAAGCGTTGTGATGATAAGCCCACAGGAGCCCCCAGGTTGCAGTCTGGGATCCGCTACCTTGAGCCTGACGCCCGGAAGTTTTAGGATATCAAACGGCTTCTTCCGGGTCCACGTGGTACCTTGGTTGCCCAGCCGGGCTGGCTGCATGGTAAGAATTGGTGAGAAGTGTTGAACACTTCCCGTGCCACATTTCCAAACATCTTCATATGTTACCTTCACGACAGCCTCACGAGGTGGGTGTCACTGGCCCCATTTTACGGGTGAAAAAACTGAGATAGTGTGCTAAAAGTCTCCCGGCTAGAAGCAGAGAAGCAGAGATTCTAACCCAGCAGTTTGGTTCTAGAACCTCCACTTGGAGGGCATCCCAGAGGCTGGGGGAGAGGGGAGTGTCAACGAGAACATTCCAAAGCCCCCACCCCCACCCCCACCCCACCCAGGACACAGGAAGCCTCTCATTTATGCTTCCGCTCAGGGGGGGGATCCAGAGAAAGATTTAGATTTAGGCTCCAGGATCCTTCTCGCCTCCCTCTACTCGCGCTAGTAAAGGAGCTCGACGTGTGACGTAGGACAAAGCAGGGCCCGTGACAGGGAGGGGAGACCTGGGCAGGTCTCCCTGGGCTCTGCCAGCTCCGGGTTACTAGGATTCCACCAGCTCAGTAAACCCAGGCCTGGAGGGCAGGCAGGCGTGTTGGGTGGGAGTGGGGGGCACCTTGGAGACACCGAGGCAGGGGCAGTAAGCCTGTGAAACTAGCCTGGAGGGAAGGTCAAAAGCTTTGGGAAGTCTTCTCCCAGGTCCCCCCTCTCCCCCGTCCCTCCCCCGACAAGCTGTAGCAAGAGAAGCAAAAATCCACTCCAGGCAAGAGCCTGGCTGGCAGCGCTCAGGGCCCAGGCGGGCCCAGCAAGTGTGGGTGGGGGGCTCCCTGAACGCCTCTCTGTCCTGAGCCGGGGCGACCATGTGCAGGCCCAACTGCTAAACACCGGCCACCATGCCTGTCTGCCCCACCCTGCTTCTAACTCCGAGGACAGACCGCCAGGGGCTCAGTGAAGGAACATGCCTTACCCCGGGCCCCAGAGATTTTTTCCAAGGCCACGAGAGCTGGGATTAGAACCCATAACTTGGGCCTCCCAGGGCAGCGGCCACGCGATCGAGTGAATTGCAGAACCCGGGCACCACCTTGCACAGCCTCAGCGGCTGGCTGCTACCCCTCCCCCTCTCCCTCTTTCCCTCCCTTCTTTCTTCCCCTCCCCCCTCTCCCTCCCCTTCCTCCTCCTCTTCCTCAAGGAGCAACCAACTTGCAGGCCACGGCTGGGCCTGACCCCCTTTAGGTGGTTCTGAGGACGCGGTCCCTGTCCCAGGCCACCTGCCAACCCAGGGGAGCTGTCTGTGGGTGGTGCCCGGGTGCCAGTGAGGTTCCCACCCTGAACGGGAGGCCCAAGCAGAGTCTGCTGCCTGCGGGCCGCCCTCTTGGCTACTTGGTCTATGGTCTCTCCCTAATCAGGGGGTGGGCCGTGCAAACGAAACCAAGATTACAAATGCACCAAAAAAATGAAATAAAAGACGGAGACATTCTCCCCTCTCACCAGGCACGGAATTAGGGAAATAAAGCAAGGATGTGGGGTAAGTGAGGGGGCACTAAAAAGATTTAGGGAAAAGATACCAAGTGAAGAGCACCTCAAATGACATCATACGGAAAAAATAGAAGCATCCGAATTGCCCAAAAATATGGGGCTACTTATATATTTTTTATGGCACTTCCATTAAGATGGAATTTTAAGCAACTATTTAAAATGGTTTTGAAGAGGATCCATGGAGAGAGAAAACATAACAAAATCGTAACTGAAGAAAGTTCTGATAGAAATCCTACATGGCAATGCCATAGTTCCTAAAATTATTTTTAAATATATAGAGATGAAGGGCTGGGAAGGCATATACCAATATGCTGACGGTCTCTCCCTCTGGATGATGGAATTAAAGGCAATTGCAATTGCTTTTAAGTTTCACCTATTAAATAGGACTATTCTCGAGATACCTAAATTCTTTACAGCAAATGATGTGATGCTGGGCCAGTGCGGGCGGGAAGGAGAGTGAGTTTGTTTGCGGAAGCGCTGGCCAGCAAGGAGCCTGAAGACCCCTCGCTCAGTCCAGAGCACACGGTTGGGGAGGGGGGCGGTGGGTGTGAAAGCAGAGCCCCCCCCACCCAACAGCCCGGGGTGAAGTGGCCTGTCCCAGGCTACGAAAGACCATGAGGACTGGAACCCAGATTTCAGGTCCCTCAGAGCTGGCCTCCTTCTGCTGTGTATTGGAAACATGTTACAGACTTAAAACTAATTGTGGAAGAAGCTGAATATGTACTGTGGAAGGTTTGGAAATACATTTTAGTGGAGGTTGGAAGGATGAATGGAAGGGCACATGGACAGAAGGACAGATGGAAGGAAGGACAGAAGGAAGGAAGGAAAGAAGGAGGGAAGGAAAGAAGGAAAGGAAGAAGGAGGGAAAGAAGGAAGGATGGAAGGAAGGGAGAGAAGAAACCCTGGAGACCCCTCCTCCCGTGCACTCAGCACCCCTGAGCCC